GGAATGCCGCTTTTGAAAGCGCTCACACTTGTTTTGTTCCCTACCAGGATTTCTTGTGAGCTGTATTTTTCGTGTTCTCCGTGTGGTACATTTTGTTGCTTTGATTTTTGTTTTTATTTTATTTTTAACCATATTGGATGTATACAATAAAGCGGTGTATATATTTCCCCTCCCCCCCATTTTTTTAACATGATAGCAGTAGCATCACTCAGGAATAAAGTGCCAGAGAAGGTATGGAGGAATGTGCCTGGGCAGTCATTTGCCTAATGGAGTGGGGCATGTCACTATGGAGAGAAACAAGGTTTAAGGGATTAACAAAAGGGTTTTGGGAGCATGTTCTTATTGGACAGGCTGGAACGCACCATTGATATCAGCTGCTTCCAACCCTGTCTATTTAACCCTTTCTTTACTATTTAGTAATCCATGTTCTTGTGAACTTCAGGGTAGCATGGAGTACAAAGAAGGTTTTAACTGCAGTGTACTCCACTTGGATGCATGCAGGGTATGTGCATAACTGACTAAGCAGTATCAATTTCATGGCTGCCCTTAAAGGCCTAAGGTGCTATGAAAAACAAGGTAGGGAGCTTAATGAAGCGTTAAGCTTGGCACAGGCTGTCCCTGTTCTTATGAGCATTGTTTACATGGAGTTTGGGTAGGTGTGTAGCCCTTTTTCAGTCTCCTTAAATGGAATGCACTGCCCTGGCTGGGAAACAAGTAAGTTTGGTAGGGCCTCACCCTTTCATGGATTTCTCTGCATCTAGATTATTCTTGCTATGGGTTTTTCAAGCATCTTACAAATACCTTGGTTGTTCTGTACCATTTCTTGCACATTCCAGTAGGTGGCAGCACTCACTGCATGGTTCAAAGCCACTTGAAAATTTTCGTGGTGTAGCCCACATGAACTGATGGGCACCTCCTTTCCTATAGGCAGCTGTGTAGACTCTCTCTCCTCCCACTTCTGATTACGTAAGCCCTTGCAGCAAACACACAGCTAATGCTTACAGGACAAAGTGACATGAGCCAAGTTCTGAGCATGTGTGCTTAGCTCTCTGGGGTAGAGTGAGCTGTATTTCTCCTTTTTGAGAAACCTTAATGGTGCCTTAATTGGCTCCTGCCTTTCATCTTCCCTCTTACAGTGATATATGGACCCCACTTCTCATCCAAAGCATTGCGATTGCCAGGTGAGCTGAGAGTGACTATTTCTTTTAAACCTCTAAGACTTTAAGTACAAATCTTCCTTGCCTTAGAAAATTAGTTGCTGCCTTTTTTCAAAAATCAAGCTCAGTATAAATGCCCTAGTAACAGAGTCTTGCAAAACTGCAGCCTTCGTGTCTTATAGTTTTACCTGTATCTTCAGTGACTGTTGACAAACACAACATGAGGCTTTTCCCTTTCCCCAGCAAAGGAAAGAGTCCAAGATCAAAGTCACATGTCCAGTCCTTGGTGACTAAGTGGCTTGGGATTTATTCCACCCACACAAATAAACGTGGGCACCTTAAAACATGCCACGTAGTCAAACAACAGTAGCGTTAGCCACAAGATTAACACTGAGTGTGGAAACTTTTTTACTAGCTGAAAGCGAGTAGGCCAAACCTTTGTACCTTCAAAAATATGCCTGAAATCTAGGGGAGACTCAAATTCTTTTGTAGTACCCAGCCCTAAAAAACCCCAAAACTACTGAAAAGTTTTGGAAATAAAGCACTAATTATTACCAGTGTTCTGTGTGAAGCAGCCTCACGATAGAAGACAGCTGTTTGATTCCAGTGCTTTACTTTTGTGCTGAGTAAGAGCTGTAATACACAAGAGGACCAGTTGGTCAAGGCCTCTTCTCTGCTGGCTTTAGATAAGGCTTCTCTGTTTGCCAAAAACCTCCCTAAATCAGCTTGAGGTCATAAAAATTCTCACTATCTTCAGTGCCCTTGCTGCTTAAAGCCTAGTTGTCACATAAACAAGAGCCTGGTTCTGCTTGCATAGCAGCATGTCTTGGCTTTATCCTGTGGGCAGAGATGGCAGCTCACTGAGCATAATCCTCTATATAGGACTCTGCATCAATGCAAGAAAGCAATGCTTCCTAGCACTAACTTAAACTTCCTGCAATACTCCAAAATGTGTCCTGCACCACAGCTTAAACAAAGGGCAAACTAAGGAATGCTAGCAGCCTATCCAGAGCGACAGTAGTTTAATATGAACTATTTTAATTTGGGCATTCTAGGAATACTGTTTTTGAGCGTCAGTCTCCTGCAGCTAACGATAATAGTGGCTTCACCTGCATCCCTAACTGCTGAGAGGCATCCAAGCCCTGGATTTTCCTTGGGAAAGCTGAAGGAAGGGAAACCAGTGGCATTTCTGTCCCATGGGGCAGAATAGCTCGCTATGTCCTCCATTGCAGCTTGGAATCACTGCTACAAGTAGCCTGGTTAACAGATCCCTAGAGATCTTTTCTCTAATGTATTTTCCTTGCAAAGCAACTGCTGTGTGTTGATGTCAAGCCTCTATTTATTTGTTGTTGCCTAACTGTGTATCCTGGGATGGGCAAGTTAATGAAAGTATCGTGTTGTGAGTGCCTACAGAGTTGGCTGCTTGCTGCTGGCTGGAGGGCAAATTATATTAGCCTTTGAAATACACTTGGCCATCATACAGAAGTAGGATAGGATTGGTGCTCTAAAGATGGGAAGTGGGAGAAAGAAATGGAGTGAATGTTGGTAACCAGATAAGGTCTGTGGGAGAAAATGCCGGTGAAAATGGATGAGGGCAAGAGGGATCAAAATAGAAAATAATCTCTTGGTCTTTAGGGAGGGCAAGTATTTGGAATATCAGAAACAAAACAAAAAAGCTAGTCTGGAGGAAATGCAGGCAGTGGAAAGGGCGAATTTGAAGATCTGAATAATGGAGTGGAGACTTACAAGAGGATAAGAAACATGTATAGTAGGCTTTCTTATGGAGAGTTGCTTGCCTTAAGCAGCACTTGAATCTGACTTAAGCTGTTCTTAGCAACAACAACGAGCAGAGGACTGGCTACCTTTCACTGCTGCAGGTTCCTCCTACCCTTTTTGAAAATAGTACAGGTATGTGCTTTTCTCTGCTGTTTCAAATGCATGCTACTTTCAATGGCATTTTCATATAGCTTCATTTATCTTTTGCATTCTTTTTTCTGCAGGGTATTTCAAAGTGGATCTCAAACAATGTGGCAGTAGCTCTTTTACACATGGAGATTGCCAGTGAGGCAAACACTTATCCTAGCATTGTATGTGCCATCATGTGAAGGTCTTGTTAGGTAACTCCTTGGTCTAGGAAGTCAGGACAAGAATGGGGCAAGGCATGGTTTACAGAAGCAGATCACGTGCAGCCATTTAGCTTTTATTGCTGCACTGGCTTTATTGTCAAATCATGACTTAGATTCATTAGGAATCATCTCAGAGGAATGCTCCACGCCACATTGCAAGCCCCTGGGAGCAGAGGGTTTCCAGTACAGCTAGTCTAACGCGATCCGTGTGTCCCATGTATCTGTACCAGATGACCAAACTAGAGCCTGTTGCTGCGCTGACATTGTCTGTGCACTTCACTCAGCACCCTTCTGCGGGGCTGTTGTATTGGAGACGCTTGAGGTGGCCTTACAGCTAGATCTGGGGCTGGTTTTGTGCTCAGTGACAGGAAGCAAGCAGAGCAGCGTTGGCAGGCCAGTACCTAGAGGTGGTGGGCATGGAGAAGGAGCTGGGACAATCCACCCCAGGCTGTTCTGAAGGTCAGGGCTAGAGGTGGCACAAGATAAAAAGGGCAACTGATTGTAAGCGGTGACAGCAGCGATCCTTCAGTTTTGAGGATGATCTCCACCATGGCTCATTGATGGGCTTGAGGTGACTTAAGAGTCCAGTCCTTGAGCCACAGATCAGCAGAAGTTGCAGGTCTTTCCCCCAGTGCAGAGTAGACCGCAGGCTGAGATTGCTCTCCTTTCCCTTTCTCTGCTCTCTCTCCCTTGCTTCAAGGGCCAGACACTTTACCTCAAAACAGGCCGCAGCTCGGTTGAGACTGCAGCACCATTGGAGTTGGTCAGCAGCCATGCCGGCACCCATTTTCTTGAGGTACACCAATGGGTCCTTGTCACGTTCCCTCTGGCCGCGGTGAGATCTCAGGCTACATCCACACTGAGAGGAGAGCGCTTGTTTTAGAAGTTGTGAAAGTCCTGGGCTGTCCAGGTTAGAAAAGAGAGACTCGGCCTATTCAGCTTAGAAGAGAGGTTTGAGGGACGGACAAGGTAAGGGTTACCCAATACTGAATGGCAAAGAGAAAGTCAATAGGGATTTATTTTTGACTCTGTCTCCCCAGATAAGAACTAGGAGGGAACAACATGGACCAAGTAAGTTCAAAACTACACAGAGCAGTTTTTTCACCCAGCGTGCCATTCAAGGGTGGGACTGATTGCCAGCACATCTGAGAGCCTAGCTAGTTTCCCGTAGGGGTGGGACACATTCTTGGAGGAAAGGAACAGCAAGAGCTGAGCGCAGGGGTGAGGGGCACGGCTGCCGAGTCCGAGCTTCCTTGACCTTAAATGCTGGAGGCTGCAAGGGAGAGAAGGGTGGGGAAGAATGCGGGTCAGGCCCGCTTCTCTCGCCCTCCAGTGCCTGGGTCAGATCCACTTCTCTTTCCCCTCCACGGTCCACTCTGCCAGCACCTGGCACGGGAGACTGGGCAAGAGGGACCGAGCTGTGATCTAGAGCGCAGTATCCCGAGGGCAGGACGGGGTGGGTGTGCAGCCAGGCACACCAGGTGCAGTAGCCGCTGCCCCAGCG